TAATTGGAGAAAAGTCCTTGTTTTTGATGGCGGGCATGATAACTCCTCACAGGAACATCGGAATCCGAAAATTCCAACGGTGTTAGAAAGAGTACATGTCTGGCTCTCGTATGAACTAGGATTATTGACTTCGCTCTAAAATTAACAAAATGGCGGACCTTTGAAAAAATATTTTTGGAAAATCGCCGATTTTTTACCAAAAACCAAGTTAAAAAATAAGGAAGATCTTCACCGATTGGCTTTATCCTAGTTCATACGAGAGCTATACACTCCCAGAGAAACGTTGCAAAATTTGGAACCGATTGGATTATTAGTTTTTGAGTTATCGTGCCCGCCATTCGCAAAAAAATGTTTAGAGAAAAACGCGTTTAAAGTTTGAGAAGCCCTTCAGCCGTCACTTGATGCTGACACAATAAATTTGCTATATCTTCAAGAGTTCTTGAGATTTTAAATAATATTTTTGAGGCATGTTTGACTATCTAAGTCATGGATTTTTAAAGATTATTTAATAGAGAATATTTTTTATTGGACTATGGAAAGGGTTAGGGGTTTAAAAGATTATTTTTCTGGGATTATCAGGATATTTTACTATCGAAAGGTGTGGTGACTTTCAAAGACGTGGATTTTTAAGATTTGGGCTATCAGAGGCCTGGATTAAATAAAAATTAAAAGGACAATCAGGGGCCTGGATTTTTTAGGAATATTTTTATTTTTAGACTATCAGAAGCTTTGCTTTTTAAGACATACTTTTTAAAGAATATGCTTATGCCAATTAGACGCTTAGATTTTTAAAGAACATTTTTTGAGGCTTATTATAGCAGTGGATGTTTGAAGGAATATTTTTCTAGATTTTTTTTTTTATTTATTTGCACTAATTTCTTTAGGAAATTTCCCTTCTATTTCAAATTTCATCATATACTTTTTCCAATCCAAATTTAAAAATCAAAACCACTTCAAACTTTAACACTCTCTCTACAAGTCAATGTTTCTTTATGTTAATAATAATTTTTTGTGAAATTTCGTTTTCACCTTCTTGATGGAAGATTTGATATTCTTTTCTATTTATTTATAATGAAGAAGAAAAAACGAAAATAAATTCACAATATTATGATTTTGAATGGATTTTTGTTTTCTTTGAGATAACCGAAATGAATATTCGTATTAGGTCGAAAGAAATGATATTAATGATCATAATATCAAATATAACGTTTATTTTTCATTTGGTTGTGGTCGTTATTCTCTTTTCAGAATAAACTAAAAAAAAAAAAACTAAACAAAACAAAACTAATTTTTCAAGAGAAATCAATAAAATTTCCAAACATATAAAATTAGAATACATTGTCATTCCTAATATTGGCAAGGTATTTCCAATATGTGCTTGAGAGGTACTACCAATTTTCTGAAGAAAAAAATCATTAACAAATTTTATGAAGCAAGTTAAAAAAATAAATAAAACAATATAAAATATTTTGTTTTATAGTATAGGAATAAATATTAAACATGTTACTACAAATGTAGAAACGTTTCTCACATAAATTTTTATTAAATATACATATATCGACTTCCAAGTTCAATGCCTCACCATATTTGGTGAATATTGTCAATCAAGTATTTCATGATCGGATCTTCTGGGAAAATCATAAAAAATAGTTTAATATTAATATGTATCAAAAGGCGCGTGGTTCTTTTTTTATTGCTATCCTATGTAAATTCACAAGATTCGGATGGAAAAAAATACAAAAAATGTGAGAATAACATTTCAGCATCAAAAAAAAAAAAAAAAAACAAATATGTATTGGGAATTCATAACAAAGGCCGCTAAACTTTTGATGTAGTACGATTTGAATTTCACAATATAAAAATTGATTTCAGAAGATGAATTAAAAAAAAATTTCGACTAAGAGGCATATAAGAAATACATATCTGGTGCGATTTGAAAACAATTTGAAGGGCGTCTTTCTAAACTATATTTAGTTGAATGTGCAAAAAGGCTTCATTTATGGTAGGGTCTGGGGAATGATATTTTATATTAAACCCCAATTACTATGAAAGTGGCCGAATTTAAAAATAAATTTAATTATAAATTAAAAAAAACATTTACAAAGTAAACGGACGAACTCCTCGAGGCTCAGCATGAGCCAAAGCATGATGAAATATATATTTTAATTTATCATTTTTTTACTTTTTTGTTTTATTTCAGGGTTTTCATAAACGAAAGAATTATCTGTGTGTTATATATGGTAAGTTTGAATATCATTTCATAAGCTATATAATCATTTAAAATATATAATGATATATTTTAGGAATTATTTGTGGTTATATTTAATTTAGAAATGCCCCGCATAAACGTGGTAGCCAAATTAAAACTTTAAATTAACAATTAAAGCAAATTCTAATGAATAATGTTTTGAGGCCTTTATACAGGGCAGCAACGTACACAGGAGGAGGGCCGGGCCCCCCGGGCCGACCCCTTCCTACGTCCCTGTATTACAGGGCATATTCCAAAAATCGACATCATTCACAAAATTGTTGTGGGAAGAATTTTTCATAACATAGAAAAGAGAATCAGTGGAGTGTTTTTTTATTAAACTTCAGGGTGCGAAGAATGATTAAAATACGTTCTTTCTCACGAATGATCGCGGCGAGAACTCGAAGTTTTCAATTTATCGCGAATGATAAAGTTACAATGAATGCACAAGCATTCTCTCGCGAATGTTCGCATTATATGAAAAATTTACGAACGATAAAATTTCGCTGCAAGCGTCGTCGATTCGTTTGTTCGTGAGCATTTGTTGCTAAACAACATTCTTTTGAACATGTTCGCGAATGCTCGCGAGCACTGTTAAAAACAACAACAAACAAAAATATCATAAAAAATGTAAACACACACAACGATTGAATGTGTGTGTGTAGCAGAAAGTGTGTGTGAGTGAGTTCACGAACGTTTGTTATTGTTGTTGCTGTTTTGAGCATTCGCGAGAATTCGGGAATGTTTATTTTCATTCGTGAGAGAATGTCGGAAAAAATTTCAACAACCAAACGAAACGAACGATCTTTGTTGTGTGCTCTCACTCGTTTGTTATGTGTGTGCGATCATTCTTTGGCGAATGCTTTGTGGTAAAGAATTTATCACCATAAATTCATTCGTAAAATGAACAAAATACGAATAGAATGCATTTTAATTCATTCGCTAGCGAATTTTTGCGCACCCTTTTAAATTTATTTATATCCAGGAATTTTGTTTGAGGCTATCATAGTGGTGTTTTTTTTTTAAGAATATTTATGGTTTTTTTAAAGAATATCTATTAGAGGCTATTATAAGCGTGGATTTTACGAAGCTTTCATAGATGCAGATTTTTATACCATACACAACTATTTTGTCAGGGTATTATAGCTTTGTGCAGAGTTTGTAACGCCGCGAAATATTGGTCCTAGACCCACCTTTAAGTATACCATATATCATATCTCGACTAGCTGTGTCGATCTAGACATGTGTGTCCGTCCGTCTGTCCATTATAATTTGTAAATTTGTAATCTTCACGAAATTTTCCATATAGGATGGGTTCTGGCAAATAAAGATCGGTTAATATTTAGGGGATGAAATGGACCAAAAACTTTATTTTTGTCTGATTTTCTGGTCGCTCCAGAGACCACAATTATGGCCCAACATCGCGAATTTTTACATGGAGAAGCGGATAGGGCCAAAGAATAAGCATCCCTGTTTTGATAATATTTAGCGGGTCAAATAGACCTTGACTTTTTTGTGAAAATTACAAAATTTGTATTCTATGGCGTAGATTTAATCCTGAAGGACATAGATCCGAGAAGTTTATAGTATATCCAAGACCTGGTTGACCTCTAAATTGATACCAAATATATTGTCGTATGTACTCGGATGTGGGAGTTACACTTAAATATTTACAGGTGCTTATGTATTCATATATTACTTAGTAACCCATAACCACACTAGAGGGCGGAAATATAACACTGATCCCATTGAAATTTTCCATGAGGATTCGGGTATGGTGTAGGACAACGCCTATAATTTTCGGTGATGATCAGATAATAATATTGGGATGAATTTGTTTTTTTTTTCGTGTCGATCTATAGGCCACAATTGAAAGCTGACCATCACAACACAATCCACGACGAAGGGAATCTGGACAAGTAAATAGAAGGGCTGTATTAAATATTAGTAATATTTCTTGACCTCTAGTCGTTCAATAGGGAGCACATATCGCGAATTAATATAGAATATAGAACCCACAAAGTTAGATTTTCGTAGAAGTTGTGTAGGGTATAATATGGTCGGCCCCGTCCGACTATACTGCTCCGCTCATTGATTTTATAAAAATTTTTATTCTTGGACTATATGAAGCTTGGATTTTTTTAACGAATATTTTTTTCTGGGACTGTATGAGAAATATTAAAAAAAATGGGTCTAGGGGCGTTGATTTTTTTCTAGGATGATATGTGGGATGTTTTTTAGCAAAAAGTTTTTACCTGAATCAAAAACCCTCAAAAAAGCTTTCACGGAAGTTGTAAACGTTTTTAATTTTTTAATTTTAATTTTTATTACGTATATTTTTGTCTTGGGTAAAATTCTACAATATTTTTTCCAACATGAACTTTTCTTAATATTTAATTTATTTAAATGCGATACAGGTAAAAATTCGAACCGTAAAAGTTATGAGTATAACTGTGTTTTTTTTTGCCGATTTGAGGTATTTGGGTCATTTGAGACACAGAGAATGGGTTCTTGCAAAAATAATTTTATTTTGAAGGTTTCTCAGGTTAAAGGGTGTTTAAATAGTTTGTCTTTTCAAAAAAAAAAAAAAAAATCATTTCATTTTTATTTTTACCAATTTTATCCAAAAAGGGATCTTAGAATTCTAATAATTCCATAGTCCCAAAAATCTCTACAGTACCTCACGATGTGTCTATTTTTTATCTAAAATTCCCATAACTTACAATTAAATAAGAAAAACACTTTTACTTACCAAATAGAACCGATGGAACGCTCAGCTTATCCAATGGGAATGTGACATAGGCATAGACGAAGAACAAATGCAGCAGGGAGATCATAATGATGTTACCCCACTTGAGCGGTGCCTTAAATTGGATGCCAAAAACACGATCGCCTTTGAAGTTTTTGGTGTACTCTTCCAAATCGACATGGTGTTTCTGTTCGATATTTTTCACCTCACCATCGACGGCCGAAACTAAAGGTTGACCATTCTTGGCGGGGAATCCATTGGCGGCAGCTGAACTTTTGCCATTGGCCGTAAGACGATGTTTCAATTCTGTTTGTTGTTGTTGTAATCGTTTGAAAATTTTTGTTTCGAGTAATTACAAATAAAATAAAATTAGATTTCTTTTTTTCTCCTTCTTCTTTTCTTTCTTCACTTGATCTCTTCACTGGAGATTATTGTAACTTTTCTTCTTTTCGGGTTTATTTGTTGTTTCTTTTTTGAAAATATTTTTTTTTTATTTTATTTTTTATTTCAATTTTGTTTGGTACATTTATGTATCCGTATACTTATGTGCGTACATACACGATTTTGTTAAGATATGATGGTTATATAAATAAAATAAACCAAGACGTTTTGGTTTTCCCTCGGTGTTTTAATTTCAAATTTCTAGTCTGACATCCGCTTAGGGCTTATCTAACGACCGTTACACTTAGACGTTTCGTTTACAAATGACCACAGCTGAAGATGTTAAAAATCATTTCTATCGGCCGAGAAAAGCCACAAGATCGATTATAATGCCACTGTCATGCCACAGATACAACGACGACGACGGCAACGATCGCGACAGCAACAATACACGACAGCAACACACACAGTTCACCAAAAAAGACGCAGACAGACAGAAACCACAACGAAAGCTTAGCGGCGGC